GCCCGCCCCGGGCAGCGCAAGCCGGTGGGCATCGCGCTGAGCGCGGCGGCTTCCCCGGCCGTGTCCGCAGCCCGTGGCTCCTCCTGGTGAAGTGGCGCCGAGCGCGGTGTGACCAGGACGAAGGTTTGGCCCCAGCGCAGACCACGGGCAGCCCTGACACTGCTGCTCTGCAGGCAGGGCCCTGCAGGCAGGCAGTGGCCGCAGAGGGTCCCTCGTGGCCCTGCTCCCTTAGCAAAGGGCAGCTTTGTTGAGTCTCTTGGCAGACCCTCACTCGAAATGCCTTCACCAGACTTTGGAGACCCTGGATGAACCAGCTAAGCAGCAGTGTAGCTCAAGGGCGTGTGCATGTGCACACACTCTTTTAAGCATAGGCAAGTTCCTGACTTCCTTCTAGAAAGAACCAGTTGGATCCAATGACAAGAGACAGGTGGGATTAAATAGGACCTTCCCCTCAGACACCACTTGCAGAGAAAAGCTCTTTCCAGCCTGATTCTTCCTCTCTGAATGCAGCTCCAAGGTTTGGAAGTGAAAATATAAAATTAGGGGCGGTCACATATAATTACAACCTGACCCAAGTGCTCAGGCAGGAGGTACCACAGCTACGACTTGGTCCCCAAGTGCAGCTGGAAGACCAGCGTGGTGATGGCCACCCACTGTGTCTAGCTTATGGGAATCCACTGTTCTCAAGGCAAGGTTGGGAGTTTGCTTTGGGCAGCGTCGCTTGCTCCCAAGTGCTGCCCCGGTTGCTCTGCCTGCGGCAGTGCGAGTCAGAGCTACCTTGAGTATCTTGCTGGGGGTGCTCAGGACTTCTGTGCAGGAGGCAGAGCCTCTAATTTTTCCTGCCATTGGTTTTGTTGCAGAGAAAACTGGACTCGGCTTCTCGCAATGAGAAACTGGAAGCTGCCGTGAAGCTGGTGCGGGAGGCTGTCCGACTAGTCCAGAGCGCCGGCTCCAAAGGGGTAGCAACCATGGAGATAGCAGCAAGAGACTTCTCTTACTCCCTAGCGAGGATCTATGCAGGTAACGGGAAGGGCCAGATGGTTGATTTCCGTGTTCAGGTTTCTCACATTCTGGGGTGAATAACAGTGCTTGAAAGCAAGTTCAGTCCCCCCTTTTAAACTGGGGGTCAGCCTGTCACAGGAGAAGTAACCATTTTTCACTACTCTCTGATGTTTTGGCTGCAGTCTGGCAAAAATTCTGTCCTACGTTTTCTTTCCAGGTGCTCTTTTAATTGAACATGCAGCGCAGCCCGATTCCTCCTCCACGGACGTCTCTGCTGCTCAGAGGTAAGCAGGAATCTCTTCTAGTCTGGCCACTTTGCACAGCTCCCCATGCGCTGCCTCACTGGGAGATCTGACCATCTGCCAGCTGGGACCTTAGCTCTGATGGACACAAACAGCATCACTGCTTTTCCTTGCCATGGGGCATCTTCCTTCTGGCAGCAATGAGAAAGATCCCCCCTGGAAAGGACTCAAGTGGAAATCCGTCTGTATGACGGGACTCTGACAAATTGTTTGCATTCTCTGTTCAGGTGGTGCAACCAGGAGCTGTGTCCTGTCAGCACGGAGCTGAAAAACAGCAGCTATGATGCCCAGGCAGCGTTCATGGACAGCTGCCTGGTGTACGACGGGAGCCCTGTCGCACACAGCAAGCTGTGACTTGGCAGAAAAGCCAAGGAAGAATCCTTTACCTGGGAAAATCACAACTGTAGGTTACTGAGAATTAGTAAAATGTATTAGAGAGAGAATTAGATAGTGAAATGTTCTTACCAGGTTTTAGGCAAAGGCTAGAGTGATCAAATGCAGATAAAGACTTGAAGCAGCATCTCTTCAAGTGCAACTGGTGTTCATGCTAAGGAAAAGCACTAACTCAAACTGAAATTTATCTGACACTGCTTAAATACAGAAAATCACAATTTTGTTACATTTGCCTTCTTGCTTCCCAGTGCTGTTCCTAGACATTCTTTCACCCTGGCAGCTGCCAGGGCAACCTTGACTAATCTCTTAACGATTTGCTCACAGCCAGGTGGTTGGTAGCTGCCATTCATACAGGTGACCTCTGTGACAACTGTGACACTTGATTCCAGACCCCCAAACTCTGTGACTGATCTTAGCAGCTTGTTGGGAAAAGCAAAGGCGTTGTATACAAAAAAATTCTATTTCCTTAATCTTGCCATGGCTGAGGGTATGGTTGTGTAAGCTCATTGGGCACTGTTCAGTGCTTTTGATGTTTCCTTTTCCTGTCTATCTTGTCCCAAACAAACTTTGCTGTGCTTTAAAGTAGGCTGAAGCAGAGGCTTTACCTTGCAATGCCTGTGACCAAGTGCCTCATCCTTGTGAAAGCTGCTACCTAACTCAGCTCCGTAGTTAGCCGAGATGGGTAGCAAAAACATCCTAAGCCTATGGCACTGGAAATGGAGGATACAATGATTTGGGATTTGCATCTTCATAAATGGTCGGCATCAACCTCGACTCTACTGTATGAAGCTGCTCTGGAAAAGGTTGGGAGAGGATGTGGTCTCAGCTGCATCAGAACTGTACATGCTGCTACTATAAAGAAAGTAAAATTTTGCCCTCCACAGGGCTTAATAATTTTCTGTTTGTGTATCCTAATGATAAGGCAAGTCATACTGATATAGATTCTACTAACGTAAGTTTTAGATTGAAAGCCAGTTGCCACCATCAAAGCAAACACCTAGATGGTGATCGCGTGCTTCTCCCCACATCAGCACTTCAGTCTGCCTGCTTGATATTACCCTGATGAGAAAAAGTTTCTCCTTGCAAAGTTGCTGATAACAGAAGAAAAACAACAATAGAAGAAAGACAACTGGAACATATAACTGCAAAAAGCTATCTGCAAGTAGAAGAAAGAAGGGGAAGGGACAAGAAAGGAGCTGTTTTCTGAGCACAAGTTACCCAACAGGTTGCTGAGGCTGAAGACCAGGGCTCTGAGAGGACCCTGCGGATCAAAGACACCGTCTGAGGAGGAGCCGGAGCAAGGAGCGGTGCCTGGAGAGGTCTGGGAGCAGCAAGCGGACGCTCAGGGGCCTTGAGCACCCTCCACACTGTGCAAAGGAAACCACGTTAGCACGGCCCAGCATCGCTGGGCATTGCCACATTTCTCTGTGTTTGCTGCATGCGCTTTGGGGTGAATAAATCTGGCTTTTGGAAAAAGTCTTGTGTTACTGCACTTGGTTGCTGTCAAAGAAAAATGCCTTGCACGTGTTAAAACATGAAGCCACCCGCATCTAACCGGCATTTGAAGCTGTTTGCAGAGCCGGATATCGACTGCAGCCTCCTTTCTTGCTAGGTCTTGGGCCTTGGCAAGTGTGAGACCTGCCACGCTCCCTGGCAGCTCCGCCTTTCCCAGCGCCTCCTCTTCCCAGTTTTACACACATTTTTTGACCACTGGGATTAGTTCTTCCTAATACACAAGCTATCATTTGCCTAAAAATACAGCCCCCCAACCAGGAGGCCTGCAAACGTACGAAGACACAAAACACAAGGGACTGTAAAATTGTCACTGTGTAGGAAAATGACAAATTTATTAAGATCTAAATAGTCACTCTGAGGCTACAGCAGAATAAATGCTGTTACAAACAAAGAAGCACTAGGGTCTAACACTTTATACGGCTGCTAACCAGCTCTCTGCTCTCATAGGTTTGCATGTTGTAAAACATTTAATGTTCTCGAAGTAATTAATCAAGACGTCAGATGTCATTTTAATACAAATTCCACCAAAGAAAAAAAATGTACAATCAAATGCATCACTGGTTGCCACTGCAAGATAAAAATCATTTAATAACACAACGATGGGAAATCGTTTTAAAAAACATACCTGTTAAATAGTAAGGTAAAACTTTAGCAGCATTTAAAAAATTTGAAAGTCCAAAGAGTATGGTAATCTTAAATCACGAAATGCAACACTCCGAGCTCCAATGCTGGCAGGATGAGTGTAAAATGAAGAGATGGGAGGTTGTTATTCCTCTGTCCAGGAACCGGGATGTCCCTATAGCCTATGGACACAGACAGGGTTTGTACAGATGTGGCTGTGTTCAAATCTGACATTTCTGCTTCTAGTTCCTTGCTCTCATGCTAGTGGCTTCCCACTTGGATAAAGAACCAAGTTGAATTCTTGCAAAAAAAAAAAGGGCAAACCAGGAATTTGGAGCTCCCTGGGCCGGCCTGAGGGCTCCTTCAGCAGGTCCGTAGGTCTGTAAAGGTCCTGAGAAGCCCTCAGGAGAGTCACCAGTCTGGCCCCAGAAAAGAAAAAACAACACAAGCAGGAGCGAACCTAATTCCTAGCAGCACAGCTATGAATACCCCATCCAACAACAGCCATGTTCACTCACATTCCTTGACTCAAAAAAAAGCCTCAATTGCTGCTTTTGCTTTTACTCTGAAAAGGTAATGCCACAAAATTGCTTCTGAGCAAGGCCAAGCAATGGAAACCAACTGAGGACTAAGAGCACACAGAGCCCAGCCTGGATCCTGCGTGGGAACAGACGTGAGACCCGGCCTGAGCAGTGTCGGTACCTGCTTCACTGCCCCTCCTTCCAGAACCGCCTCCGCTAGCGCTGCCTTCGCCTGACGCCGGCCACTACTAAGTGCTCTCGACTCCTTGGGTTGATCTGTGAATAATTTGCCATCTACTAGAGAGGCAAGTAGAGAATAAGCATAAAATTTCTGCACGCCCCATTTCCATTAAATGACCTCTGCATCAGCACAGCCTTTTTTGGCGTGTGGCTGTTAACCTTTGCAGCCTCCTAACTTGGACTTGCTGCCGTGGGGACAGGCTGCCCTGCTCAGCCAAGTGGCTCTCAACACATTCGTCCCTTGGTCACCCCGTGAAGAACCTGCCAGGGGGTGCCCAGCCGCACGGTGTCCGCACTCCGCGCATCCTTAGTGATTCCTGCTCCCGAATACGCACTCATGGGCCAGTCCCACCAGGAAGGAGAGGTGGGGGATGCTGTTGTCCTACCTGAGGGACGAGGGACTTCGGGTTCTCAAGGATTGTCTTTTTCCCCCCTCAGGCACTAATCCCGTTTCAGAGACTCCTGATAAGCTGCACAAATCGCCTTTGCCTAAGGAGATCATCGGAAGGGAATCACGGTACGTAAGACAGCACCAAAGCTGCATGTTATGCCAACAACACTGCTGTCCTTTGGGGCTCTTCTGCTGCTTAGAAGCAAAGAGATGCTTCAAAAATGCTCCTCAGGAGAAGCTGATGGCCGGGAAATGAATTTTGGCTCCGCTAGCAGAACTGTGAGGCCGTGGGCAGCCGTCGCTCCCGCCTCGCACTGCTGCTCTGCGCTCTGAACGTGCTCTAACTCCTTCTGACAACAGCACAGGAGAGCCTGAGGGTTTCGCTCAGCGGTTTCCAAACAGAAACTATCCAAGAATTAAGTGCAAATGTCCAGGGCTGTGAGTAATGGTGTGCACATAAAGTCTACAGTTACTGCACTGCAGAGTAATGAGTTACTGAAAAAGCACTTAGAAGTAACTCAGGTATGAAAGGACCTATATAAAATCAGATTCAGGTGTATAATTGAAAACCTGCTGTTCCTTTGCATGTTCTTAACAGTGCACAACATTATATATGATTTTTATTTCATCCTCAAAGCTATAAATACTGCCACCAGCTGTGATCATTGCCCTGTCCAGGAACCTGGTATATTATTTGATTAAATAAATACCTTAAGATTATAAAGCAACTGCGCACCACATCTTGTGATCAGAACAGGCCTGTCCTAAAGTAACTCAGGGATGCTCCAGGAGCCCGTTAGTGCCCCAGAGAGTTCAGGACAAATCCCCTCTCTTAAAATATGTAAGAAATGACTGAAGGAAGATGAGCTTCGGTGACAGACATGCATGTGGTGGGCTGCTGAAATGAGCCAGCAGCCCTAAGAACATGAGAATCATCGGGTCCTTGTGCAGGAGGCTTCTGCAGCACAAACAGCACGTGAGTTTTCCGCCCTCTGGGAAAAGATTGAAGGTTTTAAACCTGAGCAAGTTTGGTTTGTTCCCCAGGAGCCGTGGCTCCACCATCCAGCATTGAGAATAAGGCAGAAAGTGCAAATGAGAACTGAACTCCGATCCGCCCGGCCCGTGGCCTGGGCCACCTCTGCGTTTGGGCCAGCATCATTGGATCAAGCTTTAAATACGATGGTCAGTTAAGGGGGAAGAAGAAAAACGAGGTGCTGAGGAAGGTGAGATTCTCCTACCGTTCTCCAGCCTCCAAGAAAACTGTGCTGATTGTGCAGGACAGTACCTGGTGGCGCGGGCGGCTCGTGGCTTTTCCCCCTCCCTGGGATCGCTGTGCCAGGGGATCCACGCTTAGCATTTCCTCTTGCAAGTTGAGGAGCAGCAGTTTGCTGCTCCCAGCAAAGACACACAGTGGAAAAGAAAGCAACAGGAGGACTGCTGCAGCCTCCTTTCTCAAAGGCCTTTTTGTTT